CCATTGTGATAGATGAAGACTTCCGGATTATCAGATTAGGTGAGCTAATGAGAAATTTATTGAAACAGCATTAACGCGGTAATAGAGGTTGGGATAAATAATAATTTGACAATTGATAAAAAGACAGTTCGGATAATATCATTGCATTATCGCTACCCATAACCCCAAATATACCAACTTCTTTTAAACAATGCTCGAGAGCAGGACAATCCCGGCATCAAACGATGACCTCAGAACGAAATCTGACAATGTTCAATTTATTAAATCACAATGACCGCCACCTTATCTGAAACGCCTTCTAACCAAAGTAAAATTGAATTCATCTACCAAAAACTATCTCTCTTATAAATCATGTCACCCACGCCATACCAAAAATAATATATAGAAAAGTATGCACCATTGTGATAGATGAAGACTTCCGGATTATCAGATTAGGTGAGCTAATGAGAAATTTATTGAAACAGCATTAACGCGGTAATAGAGGTTGGGATAAATAATAATTTGACAATTGATAAAAAGACAGTTCGGATAATATCATTGCATTATCGCTACCCATAACCCCAAATATACCAACTTCTTTTAAACAATGCTCGAGAGCAGGACAATCCCGGCATCAAACGATAACCTCAGAACGAAATCTGACAATGTTCAATTTATTAAATCACAAAGACAGCCACCTAATCTGAAACGCCTTCTAACCAAAGTAAAATTGAATTCATCTATCACAAGGGCCGCCTTTTACGTATCTAAATGCCCGGATCTTCGATGTAAATATTGCGACCATTTAACGCCATATAACAAATATAATTTTCACAACTTTACTTTTGCATCAATGAAAATACGAATTATGACACAAAAATCTCATATATATATTTGTCTTGAATTGTAATGGTCGTCGAAATTTCTATGTCGGAGAAACGGACCACATCTACGGGATAGAGTACGCAACAATCGACGGGATTGTAACATTGAAAATGGGCCCTTATTTGTACGACGTAAATAGCCATATCTTCAGATGTGCTCAACACCTACAAGTCAAATTTCAAATTTCCCCCTTTTTATAAAATGAAAGTCGATGACATGACGAAAAGAAAAATAATGGAAAACCATTTTATTAAAAAAAATACGTTCCTCGACTTAATAGTCAATATGTACAACTGGCCATTAATTCCATAATTTTCTTAATCTATCCTAAGACAAGGACAGCTGTCTAGACGTTCGGATGGGACGAAAAACCGAGGTCCCGTGTACACATTTGCGTGCACGTAAAAAAATCCCTTGACAGTTGGAATTCGATATAAGAGTAGGCCGTAGTGCCGTTGTCTTTGATGTTTTCGATATAATTGTACATACCCGCCTCGCAGGATGACTTGATCTGAATATCCGATATATATTAAAGTAGATGAAGTACAAGTACTTTTATGATTAAGGTAGATACATCAATAAAATAATAAAAAATACGTCCAGGAATACCCTGGAAAGATAGCCTATTATATTTGCAACTGGCATATCCTTTTAGTGTATGTATGTTATCGGTATTAGTGGTTTTCAGAAAATCTTACTCGTGGTCTTAATTGGCGCTTTAATTGGGTAGTCCTCAGTTAAATTACGGCGTGGTTGTCATTTTCCAAGTGTGGACGGTTTCCTCGGTGTTTGTTTGTGGATGTAACCCCATACAACTTAAAAACCAATAAATTAATTAGACATACATTATACAAGAGCTAAATCTACTTATTGCAGGTCTTGCTTTAGGCCTGAGATGTTATATTAATTATTAATTACTGTCTACTAAGCGGAAAAAGAAACGTCAGTTTGATATGTTACTCTGAATAAACGCATTGCATAAAACTTGCCAAATGTTTTTATTGTATATTTGTGACCACATCTCCAAATTTACCTTAGCAATAAGGCTCCTTCCCAAACACAGAATATATGGCAATGTGTTCTCCATGATTTTTATGTAACTCATGCTACACGTGCTGTTTACCGGGACCAGCCCTATAAAATGCACCCCCCATACCTGGTTGAATCATTCACACTACAATGTCAGCAGCATGGCACGACTGACAACACCTCAGAGGAACTGCAGACGCTTGGAAGACTCGACGCTGGCCACACTGCCCAAGCCGTTGCCAATCACTTACAGGTCAATGTAGGGACCATCTACAGGTTTCAGCAACGCTTACGGGCCACCAACACCACGGATGATCGCCCCCGAACTGGTAGACCAAGGGTTACCACAAGGCGACAAGACCGCCATGTTGTGCGACAGTACGTGCAGAATCCCTTCACACAGGCATTTGAGACAGCACGTCAGACAGTGGGAACACACGGAAGACCCATCAGTACCGATACAGTGCGCCGACGTCTCACCAGAGAGAACATCCATTGCCGAAGACCTTACCGTGGACCGATCCTCACCATCGGTGTCAACGTCTGCAGTTTGTCCAACAACACCAGAACTGGCAACACAGGCAATGGAGAGCTGTTCTGTTCACAAATGAGAGTCGGTATTGCGTATCAACTGCAGATGTCAGGACCAGAATATGGCGTTGACGTGGCCAGCGTTATTTTGACCAATGTGTCATGGAACGAGACTCATGGGGAGGTCCAAGCAAAATGGTTTGGTTTGCAATCGGCCTGAACCAGAGAGTGGGCCCGTGGTGTTCCGAAATTTTGGTCCAGGGAAAGGAGGCTGCATTACGACGCCCGTGCCCACACCGCCAGAGTTACTCGGGACTTTCTACAGCAGAACAGTGTCAACCCGACTGAACATCTTTGGGATGAAATTCAGAGGAGACTTAATAACGTCGTACCGAGACCAAACACAGCCGATGCATTGCGCCAGGCTTTTCTGAGAGTGTGGTTCCAAGTGCCAATGGTGTTCATCAATCGTCTGGTCCATGTATAGACGCTGCGCTGCTGTTATCGACACTTGCGGTGAACACACCAGATACTGATGTATAGACTGTATACAGATTCTAAACCTTCTCGTAATGTCTTGGAATTGTGATGTATTAAACACTAATGTGTAAACATACTGTTAAAAAAAAATTGCTTTGATCCATTTAGCAAGTCATTTTCTAGAATGATTTGATTAAAGTGCCTCTCTTGAAATCGTACTGACGTTTTTTTGCTGTTTAGTATATTTAATATCCCAACGAATAAAAAAAAATCTCTCTTGAAAAATTGAACTCTCACAAACTTTTGACATCGGGCAATACCAAAATGGAGCCCGATTACGTCACTCTTCGGGCGAGATCATTTCGTATAAAGGTGTGAGAGCATGCCACATGGAAACGGTTTGCGGTACATTTACGACAATTAAAGGTATAAGCTATCAGTCTCGGCTCGGTATTGAGTTTGGGCGTTCAGACATATAACTGCTCGCATCCCTTTATTTTTCTACCATCTTTTTACATTCTAGTAAAATCCCTGTTTATAGATTTTCTTTTAAAATAATATTTTGTTTTAATTATTTGATTAGTCGGATGGGACAATTTTCTTTTGAACACAATGCGTCACAAAAAGTAATGACATTCGTTTAACGGACTTTAAAATTGAACCCATGTTGTTTGTTAAATTATTTATAATATAAAGAAGATAGAAAAGTTTTAGTTCATATATGATTTTATTTTTACGAGTATCCATGCAATCATTGATATTTTTATTGTGAATAAAATCTGGTAGACTGGCCATCAATGGATTCAATATAAATCTTCTATGCAACTGCCTTCAGTTGATATTTTTCGTCACCCAAACTCAAACGATCGAAACGATCGCGGTTTGTTTTCATTGCAACACGTGGTTGTCAAACTCTCTGTCAAAGTTAAACAACCCCCGCAACAGCCTAGTTGGTTTCGTCCATCACGTGACGAAATCAGTGTTGTCTTGTGCTCAGTCGAAAATATAAGTAAACACGTCAAATCTTTCAAGAGAAAACTTTTTTATTCGTTGGGATATTTAATTGTGCAATGGATTTTATTTAACTGGATTTGATTTCAAACACACGGGTATGTTTATAATATCCAAAGTTACATAGTTTGTTCATAATCGAAGAAATCCGTTTTAAAAATAGGAAGGTTCAGACAGTAGACATTAAATAACTTATCCAAACCATAATCAATTCCCGATGGCATGGGATACTCGAGATTTTAATGGATCTTCATTTAAAAATGTAACTTGAAAATGGGAAAGCGAGGCTTAGTCTCGAACACACCAGTGCCCTGGTTACCATAATGGACACATTTTATCTAAACTACAAACAGTGATAACTTGGCTCAGAATGAAGTAATCTGACTGGAATTTTCAGTATTTTTGTTTTATATTATCTATTTTTGACCTAATATAGCAAGCATATTCAGCTCTTTATCTAAATCTTACATAATGTATCTTTTATTAATGTGCGGTTAGATACGAAAATCTAAGCCCATTCGGTAAACTTTTTCTTGTGTTTTTACTTATGCATATCGACTGACTGTTTGAATTTCACTGTTTCATTAATAGGATTGAGACCACTAGCTATTTTAATAAACTTTTGACTTGACTTTGTTTTGACTTTAAATATTCGGTGCAATCGCCACAGTCACTGTCGGTATACGCATATGAAAGTCATTCAGAGTCAAATCAATATCTCACATGCTGTCACTTTCTGCCGATGCCATTATATCAGATAATGGCAAATGTATCGACTGCTAGACGAGCTGTCTTCATAAATCCAGTCGGTGCAGAACAGTAGGACATTAAACGGCATTTCATAACATTTCATTTTGCTAGACGAGAGCAAAGCCGTATATAGATATACAGGGCTTTGGACGAGAATCGTCTATGACGTCGTGTCACGTGATTTAGATTCAGCTCATTAATTGTCGGATGCCGAAAATGTTTATCAACTTTATTTGTTACTAAAAACAATATTTTTTTATAAATAATTTTGAAATTCGTTGAACTTATTAGACTATTACTATACTATTTTCCTTTAAGTATATTTTTATTTCCAGAGCAAAGTGTTGAGGAGGGACAAAGCATGACACCTATGGACGTAGCTTCACCACAAGGTGCCGGGACGGGGATTTTAGATGAAGACAGGCCATTAAATATGACCAACAAGTCGTTTGAAGCAGACCTAAAATCAGAAGACAAGGGACAGACTGAGAGAAAAAGGCGTGCTAGTAATGAAAGTGAAGATGTAAGTAAATGTTTGCTTAATATGTAAAAGAAATTACAATTGCAAAGCATATGAAGCGAGGTTAATACTTATTTCATAAATACAGTACATGTATTGACTGGCTTGATATACACTGTTATTCATGTTTTGTAAGTCTTTAGTCAATTTCCTTAGAAGATTATAACGATCTAAAGATTGATATAGGCATTCATATTTTAACACTGTTTGAAGCCCTCCAATGCACTCGTTAACCGATTAACTCGAAAACCCCTACATCATAATAACAAATACTTTGGCCGCAATGTCCTTAAAGATGCATTATGTACCGAAAAAACCCGAAAATAACAGAAAAATACCGAAAAATACTGAAAAACTCCGAAAAAATTCCGAAAAATACAAAATAAAAATCACTAATTACCGAAAAAAACCTAGGCCACAAATACAAATTGTTATGTGGGTAATGGGTCAGACTAGACCACCCATAATAATTGTGGGGAACTCTAGATTACGGATAAAAATGGTTGACACTCTAGGTGGCTAATGGGTCACGCTAGGCCATACATAAATAAATAGGGGGAACTAGGTTTGTCACGGATCACAATATGTCCCGCATAAGACTGTGGGTGTGTCATGTGACAGACTAGGCCACTCAACACAAAATAGACCTTAAGTAGTGGACTGGGCCACGGATCATCAGTGGTGGACTATGACACAATAGATCATCAGTGCTGGAAAATTCATCGTTTCCAGGCAGATTTAATGTATTAAGGTCAAAGCTGATTTTGAAAGTTGATCAGTTCGCCTGAATATTGCGTCCATATTTCAAATCAGGGTGAGTAGGGTAATTTTTCCAAAACGGGCCCCCCTAGTTGACAGCTCGGTGAGATTTTGAAACTAGTAGTAACCTACTAAGCGAAGTAATTATCCATCATAGTTGAAAGTAAAGTCATCACTAAAGACATAAAGTCCATACGAAAGATAACCTGCTTTTCCCCAGGCCGGAAGTAGATCTTCAATATGTGCACATTTGGAATGATACGTACGTTTGCATGTATTACAGGGAAAGCAGCCATGATCCCTTGTACAGTTTTTACTGCATGTAGGGCATGGCCTTTTACCAGGAGGAAACTGAAACTTGTAAAAGTTCTAGTTTATGTGTTAGTTCGGCGGTACCCCCATCCCAAATAACGTCACAGTAGTCGAAATTGGGAAGAAAATATGAGGTATACATGGTTTGGAGAGATCTACGACTTAACCTATATTTTAATGAGCGAAGACAATTTACCAGTTTACTTGTTTTAGCCAAAATCTTATTTATATGAGTATCCCACTTGCAGGTTGTTTGGATAGTCAGGCCCAGGTAATTGTGCGCAGAAACCTCTGTAATTGCAACATTGTCTAGATTTAGTGTCGGAAGAAATGGATTCTTTTTATTTGCTAGAGTTAGTGTTACAGTTATCAACGGGTTAAAAGATAAAAGAGACATCTTAGCCCAAAGATTTATTCTCTCTAGATCACTATTTAAGACTTCTGCGCATTTGGTTTGGTCAGTTATTTTCTTATATAAACTAGTGTCATCAGCGAATAATCTAATGTTTGATTTTATGCTATTTACTATGTCCTTGATGTATGTAATGAAAAGTAATGAACCGAGAACAGAGCCCTGTGGAACACTAGCAGGGACCGTTAATGGCTCAGAGGAGGCTTCGTTCACAACCTTCTGTGGTCTGTTGTCTGTCTCTGAACCATTCTAACAAGTCTCCTCTGAGCCAGGCTATCCAGCAGTACATTAATTTCAGAAACTGCGGCCTATTGAGTTTATTTTCAAGTCCGTTAATGTGGGCTTTTCGCTATTTTTCATATTCAATTCAAAATGGTGACCATCGGTTGACCTAAATCAATTTTATGCTCTCCGCATTTTATAGGCATTTCTTCGGGGTTTCAGAAAATGTAACTACCATATCTGTAGGTAAAATACTGAAAAAACCTTAGGGATTTTTCCTGTTTCAAGATGTTGGCACTTCCGGTTAGCTCGACAAACACCATATTTTGTGTACTCATCAGTAGTGGCTTAGCTAGTACAGAAACAAAATAATCAAGGCAATCTGACCTACTTTTTTTTCAATTTTCGAAATCCGAAAATCAGAAATTACAAGTGAAAATGAATTTCATCAAGGTAGTCAAGGAAAAAAGAATTAGTAAAATTTAAGAGGCAGATATCATTGGGTTCCGGACAGATACCATCTGAGTTCCTAGAGTGTGTAGACATCGCCTTGGTTCTTTAGACGACCATATGATGTATCCGTTTCCTGAGCCTAGCCATGCTGGTTAGACTTTTACAGGAGCAAGATGTTAATTTTAAGTATGCTATACAATTTAATATATTATGCTTGTAATATACGTGTCACCGAGCTTTCTATAAAAAGTAGAACTAAGCTGTTACATTGTTATTCCTGGTAAGACAAACGTCTTAACTACTGCGAAGATAAACGTCTTAAGTGAGGAGATAGTGAGAAGAAAATACACAACGTGAAACGAAGCAAAGCAGACAATCACGTCGCTATTAAGATATATAGTAAGAAGGGAGTGTATGGGTCATACATTGAATGTGGCGACCGGATTTGAAGGCCCGCTGTCCACGTCTGACAAAAGACTCATGGTGCTGCACTACTTTTATTTCGCCCTACCATGCATGTGCTAAAGGGAAATTTATCCCCGGGCAGCGGCGCTACGGTCTACTCGTATTTTTATCCAACTGACAAGGGTTCTTTTTAGTGCACACCAATGTGTACACGGGACCACAATCTTTGTCCCATCTGAACGACTGGCACTAGTGATAAGAGGAAACCACGAGGAACCCTCTCGGACTTCCTGGTTAGCGAGGCAGCGCCTTACTCACTAAGCCATCGGGGCTCTTTTGAAAAATAGAAGTAAGATTAGATTTTCAAAGCGGCTCAAATGTTCTTAACGACACTTGTATATCTTCAAATTATGAGACAATCGTTTTACTTTACAACAGCGCCACACGAGATTTTAGTTTTAATAGTATTCGATGAAGACATCGTGTAGACAAAAGACGTGCCATATAAATTCAATGGAAAACAATTCGATGGCAAACAATTACATAACCAATATTAAGGGTGTTGTGCAATAATCTATCACATTAAATTTGATTTTATAGTTGCACATAACCTTTGTTTACAAACTGATTTTGATAAAACTTTCAGAATATGTACCAAATGAATCAATTTATCGTTTGTCATTGACATTTTACCTGATTTCAAAGTATTCCTAGGTCAAAATTAATTTCAAAATTCTAAACTCAGCTATCAAATGGTTTCCAAGACTAAAAAGATATTGAAAATCGGATAAGAATTGTCGGACGAGGTAGAATTTTAAGATTGACTTACATTTTCAAAATGGAGTCATTTCCGGTGAATTTTAACTTGATAGAGATTACTCTAAACTGTGGATAGACGACTCCTATTGACAAATATTTTCATCAGAATTTTCACTGTTTTCACATTTGAGCTTAACATCAGAGCATACGCATGCGTGGTAGAGACCACATTCTGCAAGACAAAACGTCATTTTAGCTAACATTTCTAATTACAAGGGAATACCGTTCAGGTAGTATATAGATTATTTCTGTAGAATATGTAATTTTTCATAAAAGCGAGTGGGAAAAAAAGTATTATTTGTAAAACATGAAATTATTGCGATTTGGGGTGGTGAAACATAATTGCGACATGAAATTATTGCGAATTTCTATAGTGGGGAAAAAATTATTGCGACATGAAATTATTGCGAATTTAAATAATTTTTTTTTAGTAAATTTGTCTATAAAATGTGGTAGATTGTTAAATTTGAGGTGACAGTCGGCTCTTCAAAACATCGGTTGATTGGTGATCATTAGTAACAGCAAATAGTGTAAACTTGTCATTTTGTACCAACCTTCGATACTACTGTCTACCATTGTGATGCATTCGATAATATTTATCCATTTTTGTGAAGAAAATTGATGAATTAATTTTATTTTATCAAAAAAGCACATGAACAAAAACACACCACTAATTTTATTTCCTGTTTACAGGGGGTGTAACTCTGTATGTAATATTATAGGAGGCACTAAAACGTCTGTTTAACAATAAAGTGGCAATGGAAAAGAGATACTAGATGATCGTGACAAAACTCGGTACTTTTATTTTATTCAATCAGTATCAAATAATGTGTGGTTACGCGTGAAAACAATGACCAGGTTAGTTGTTTAATAAAACAAAAGATTAATTAATAGATAATCCCGGGTTACATTTCTTTTTACCTGATCAGTGGGGGTCCAGTTAATTAACTACTACTCACGGGATTAACGGGGGTGCTACAAAGAACGACAAGATGGTAACATTCAACAATGGCCGTTGAATGGGCGATGTTTTGTTAAATTTATTTGTAAAATAGTGACCGCTGGCCGCTTTAGAGGAGTGACCGTTGAATAAAGAGATGAAACAACAGAATTTTTACGGGGGGAATTTATCGTGACCGTTTACAAGGAGATGTCGCTGAATAGGAGTCGCTGCTCATACAGATTCTAATGTACTTATTGGTACTCTTTCTTGTGAAGAGTAATGAAGGGGGAGTAATTCAATATGGCCGACATTTTAACGAATTTTCACGAAATTATTGCGAGAGGGCCTCGCTCGCAATTTTCGCAATAATTTCATGCTCGCAATAATTTCATGTTTTACATAATAACTAGATCTATAAGCTTTCATGGATTCTATCAAGAATCTTAAAAAGAAAAAAAATAATTATTAAAATCGGTTAAAAAATGGCTAAGTTATAAGGAGAAACATTTCACGCGATCGAGAAAATAATCTGAAAAATAATAGGAGATGCTTGAGACTTACATTGGTGGAATCAAATTGATGGCCCGTTCCCAAAAAAAAAAATTGATCAAGCCGTTTAAAAACGAGTATAAAAAAGAATTATTAAGATCCTCCAAAAAATCCTAATAACAAGAAACA